TCTTGGTCTACTGTCCTACTGACCTGCTCCTTTAAGGTCAAGCTGGAGAATACATAATTCATCATCAACCTTTATTACGGTCCAGAGACCCAACAAATCGTTACAAAGCAATACACAATTCATACAGCCTACCTCCAGGTTAAACAAGCATTTCGTTCAGAATATAGGGATCATTGGTTCTTGCAACCACCGATAAAAACTTGGCCACTGCTAATGTTCTAGCATTTGTCCGGTCTTCCAATAGGAACCTGACATAGTGAGCCTCTGATTTTACCGGGAAAGGTACCAGCAAGGGTAATATCAGTTCAGCCCTGGCTTGCTCATATTTTGCACAGTGCAACAAAATATATAATTAGCTACAAATCTTTACTCTTAAGTGCAGAGGGAACAGGGTGGATTGATCACAGATTGTCGGATCTGGATCCTAGCATGAAGGTGAATAAAATGGCTTTAACCATTTGCTCCTGTGATGGGTGGCAATCTGAACTCCTGCCTGCAATTTACATAAGGGGGGAAATAATTGAAGAGTATGAGAGGGTTTTCCCCCTAGGCAAATTGCAGGTGTAGGGCCCCAGATGTGGACTAGGAAAGACCCCTTGCTGCCCCCCTTGTTCTGGCAACTTGTGCTAAAATAGAAGGTTGTGGGGAGCACCTGCCCTTAAGGGCATTGGATATGAAGCCAGCATGTTGTCAGGAGTTCAGCCTACATTTGAGTAGGACCCTGGCAGAGACACATGCCCGACTGGCATGTTCCCTCCCTCCTGGTCAATCGTTCGGGAGCTTCTTTAGCTTTCTTCAGCCCGAACATCACAGCGACCGATGCCAACAGACATTGGCACACTTAGGGATCCGCAGAGTTTGCACATCTTGCGTGACAGACCTCTGCAACTCAGCATTTTGGCTAATCTACTTTATTTACATATAAACACACACGGAGCACTGCAACATGGTTCCCTCTCTCTCTAGCATCAGACAGCAAAGAGAAAAAGAACAAAGGACAATAGTCCCACTTCACGGAACACAGTAACACAAACATCCTGTCTCCGTCACTTCCCACTCTGTGGAGTCAAAACATACACCGTCATGTGAAAGACAACAATCCCATGACTGCAATCATAGATCAGGAATTCTAACACATATTGCCTAGGCCTTTAGAGTAGGATCTCAGTCTGGAGGTGGCCAAGGGGAGGTTGCTAAACTGTGCTGTTCTTGCAGTTATTATTTCCCATGCCAGAGGTGGCTGGCAGTGGAAGAAGACGATGGTCAGGTTGCCAGAGAGCTGGTCCCAGTGGACGAAGCCTTTGTGCTGAAGGATACAGATGATTCTGGGTCTCTTGCAACACTCGGCCTGGAACAGAAAGGTTTGCCACCAGCTCTTTACAATTGCTTCTGCATCACAAAGGCTGAGGATGAGGAATGAGGAGAAATGAGGACCAAAATTGAGGAGAGGCTTTGCATCCTCCTCAAGTGTTTTTGCTTGGCTAGAATGAGTCCTTGAATTCTGCTTGAACCCTTCTTCCTTCCTTGGATAGACGACAGAATTGTGTGGGCTTAAAAACTAGCTGACTGGACAAATGAAGACATCTGAAGGCAAATCTTTAATGGTTGATGTTTTCTTGTGTTTTTAATATTTTGTCGGAAGCCTCCCAGAGTGACTGAGGCAACCCAGTCAGATGGGCAACGTTTGAATAATTTTTTTAAAAAATTACAAATGTAAACTTGCAATGTTTAGCCCACTTTTGCTTCTTGCCCCGCCCACTATTGGCATGTGGACTCCAACAGGTTGCACAGAGGGGAATGTGGCCCTCGGGATGAAAAAGGTCCGCCGTCCCTGTCCTAGAAGTATGACTCTACTGCGGGTCTTGGATCACTTTTATTCAATGGCTAACTCACTCCATAGAATAGTCCTGTGTATGAAGGGATAAGAGAGGGCATGAAATTCACAGTAGCTCGAAAGTCAGCCCTTGCCAATGGAGATTTTTCTTCTTGACAGCTCAATCCACAACGTTTACCGTGACTGTGAAAACTGGGGACAAGAAACGTGGTGGGACGGATGCCAATGTCTTCATCGTCCTTTATGGCACCAAAGATGATACAGGTGGGAGCAAAAAGCCTAGCCCCAGGGCGAAATGGTGGGGTACTCATATAATTCACTGCCAGGGCTCAAGAGAATTGGCATGGAAGGTTTAGCTGCTCCCAGAAAATGCTTTTCCATCGTCTCATGGCAAAATTGTTTTCTCACTGGGGCAGCCAAATCAGATTGGAGTTTCTTTTCTTGCCATGGATAGATGAACTACAGTGGTACCTCGGGTTACAGATGCTTCAGGTTACAGATGCTTCAGGTTACAGACTCCGCTAACCCAGAAATAGTACCTCAGGTTAAGAACTTTGCTTCAGGATGAGAACAGAAATAGCATGGTGGTGGCATGGTGGCAGTGGGAGGCCCCATTAGCTAAAGTGGTACTTCAGGGTAAGAATGGTTTCAGGTTAAGAATGGATGAATTAAGTTCTTAACGCAAGGTACCACTGTACAAACTTTTGAGCTGTTGTGTGTGTCCAGGCCTTCTTTGGGTCTTCACCTGGAGTCTCTTGAGATTCCTTTTGGCAGTTCCATTACACAGTATTAAGGGCAGTTCATGTTCTGAAATGCACCAGATCTGACTGAATTAGGGATGGACAGATCAGTCAAATTCCACTTTCACAGGTTTCATTTTAAAGCATGATTCTTCTCATCATTTCTGTGGATGGTTGTTGTTGTTTTTTTAATCAATGTGAAAATCTTTCGACCCCAGTCAAAGGGAATGACCTACTAATTGCAGTGACTGTACTTGCTAGCAGTAGTATAATTGTATCAAGTATTTTAACAAGTGCCTCTGTCAAGAGGCCCTACGATTGGTCAGAATAGGGGCAGGTGAGATATCAGGTGCAGGTGTTGACATCAGGCAGGTGCCTTCACTGTACTCTTTTTGGCATCTCCTTAAAACATTTTTGTTTAGGCAAGTCTGTCCAGACATGTAGAATGTTGACATACCATTTATTTCCTTTTTAGCAACTGTCGGTTTTGATTATCTTTTGCATGTTTTAAAATACCTGTTCTTTTGTTGGCATCCATCTGTCTCGGCTGTTCTAACTGTTCTTTTAATCAATAATTTTAATGTTTGATTTTATATTTTTGTAAACCGCTTAGAGGTTTCCTTCTGATCAAGTGGTGCATAAAATTTTGTGACGTAAAAATAATGGGACGAGGAATGATTTTACCTCCAAACCATTTATTCATCCAAATTATATCCTGCCTTTCAGGATACAAATCCTTCCAAGAAAATTTACAAGTAACATCCAAATACATTCAAACACACACACCAACACTTATTATTATTATTACTATTAATATTTATAAAATTTATATACCACCCATCATCCGAAGATCTCAGTGTGGTTCACAAGATAAAAATAAACTAAGTAAACAATAAAGCATATAACAAGTTATCAGGATCTTTCCCACAGGGCAGTTAATGGCAGATGACCCTGAGGGAGAGAAGAAGGTTGATTTGGAACAGGGTTTCCCATCTTCTCTTCCAAATCCCTAAGGACAAAGGGTTGTCACCAGCTAAGTGTGACCATTATGCTCACTTGCCTTCAGAAGCAGTAAAGCTCTGCTGGTTGAAAAACAACTGCCTCTGGTCTATTTTTTGGGAATCTTGCAATGTATTTAAGTTTTTACTCTGCTAACTATACATTGGAATATACTCTGGATCAATACTGAGTAGAGGTTCAATGACTCAACAAGGATGCCCAGTGGCTACTGCTTTGGCATATGCCCAGATACATCAACCACTGGTGCCAGCATTCTATGCCCTTTTAAAATGTGGCACTTTTGGGGAAGGAGGAGTGTTATTGCATTGTTGTTTTTATTTTGATCTTTTCTGTGAACTGCCCTGAGACCTCTGGGTTTAGGGCGGTATATAAATTCAATAAATAATCATAATAATCCTTTCCTTTCCACCTCCCTCTGTGAATTAAAACAAAACAGGGACGATTGGCCTGAAGGCTTCTAAGACGAACAAGAACAAATTCGAGCGAGGAAAGATTGATGTGTTCACGGTGGAATGTGTGGACCTCGGAGACCTAAAAAAAATTAAGATTGGCCACGATAACACAGGTATGTTGGCTTGAATGTACAAAATTGTTCAAACAAGCTCTAGAGAATTATCACTCAATTAATTGGTGACACAGGTCAACTTGACCCTGAGACAACTTCTAGGATGGTCCCAAGCTTAGATGATCATGGGGGCTTCCTCCAGCCATAAATATGATGGTGCATCACCTTTCCTAATTTGCATATTTTAGAGGTTACCGCCCACACACTTCCGCTGTACTTTTCTGCTTGTGTGGTGGCACTTTGGTAAAACCACTTTTTACCTGTTTCTAGCAGAGTTTTCCCCGGAGGCAGAGGACAAGAACAGGAGTCATACTCAAATTCACAGTCAAGAGCTTCTTTATTGCTTGACTGGTTCCACAAGCGTTTCTGTTACTATTACAAAGTTATTTACCATATTTTTCGCTCTATAGGACGCACCAGACGATAAGACGTACCTAGTTTTGTGGGGAGGAAAACAAGAAAAAAAATTATTTTGAATCCCAGAAGCCAGAACAGCAAGAGGGATCTGGCTTCTGGGATACCGTGTAGCTGTTCTGGTTTCTGGGATAACCACGCCAAGCCTCTTCAGGGCAGTGGGATGAAGGCTCCCCCTGCCCGGAAGAGGTTGCGTGGGGCTAAGGCAGAAGCCAGGACAGCAAGAGGGATTGCTATGTAGCGATCCCTCTTGCTGTCCTGGCTTATAGGATAGCCGCACACAGCCTTTCTCGGGGAGCGGGATGAAGGCTCCCACTGTCTGAAGAGGCAGTGCGCAGCTAAGGCAGAAGCCAGGACAGACACGTCACTGAAGGGGCGCTGCGCAGTTCTCCCTCTCTGTGCAGCACCTTTCCTGCAAAGGAGAGGCGCTGCGCAGAGAGGGAGAACTGTGCAGCGCCCCTTCAAGCGAAGCTGGAGAAGGAACAGAAGGAGACCCTTCTGTTCCTCCTCCGGCTTTGCAGGACAGGTGCTTCACTGAAGGGGCGCTGCACAGCCCTCCCTATCTGCGCAGCGCCATTCACTCCATAAGACACACTCACATTTCCCTTACTTTATAGGAGGGGGAAAGAGCGTCTTATGGAGCGAAAAATACAGTACATCCCTTCTCCATCTCTCCAGCACGGTATAATCTCAGTCCAGTAACTAACAATCCTGACACAGCAACACTCACAGTATCAGCAGCACACATTGTCTTACTTCCAACCTTGTTGTCAGTGTGCATGCTGACAGTGTGTGTGTGCGCTTTCCTCATGAGGAAATTTCAGCCTGCAACTTCCTCCCTTTATTTCCACCACCGGCTGACACCAATCAAGCCTCGAGTGCCACTGCTACTCATTAAAGAAAATTCTGGAACCCTCTTTAAGGCTTCCAGAAACTTTTATTTGTTTCTTAAAGAATGTTTTCCTAACACCATTGTGTTGTTTAGTCGTTTAGTCGTGTCCGACTCTTTGTGACCCCATGGACCAGAGCACGCCAGGCACTCCTGTCTTCCACTGCCTCCCGCAGTTTGGTCAAACTCATGCTGGTAGCTTCGAGAACACTATCCAACCATCTTGTCCTCTGTCGTCCCCTTCTCCTTTCCCAACATCAGGGACTTTTCCAGGGAGTCTTCTCTTCTCATGAGGTGGCCAAAATATTGGCGTCTCAGCTTCAGGATGTGTGCTTCCAGTGAGCGCTCAGGGCTGATTTCCTTAAGAATGGATAGGTTTGATCTTCTTGCAGTCCATGGGACTCTAAAGAGTCTCCTCCAGCACCAGAATTCAAAAGCATCAATTTGCCAGGAGGTGATGGGACCAGTGGCCATGATTCCTAACGGCACAGAGCTCTTTAAACTTAGGAATATTTCCCTAATTCCCAGGTTGCACCACAGGCAAGTGAAGCAAGGGGGACACCTGTCTTACCAGTCATACATGTGGAAAGGATCTAGGGGTCTTCGTAGACCACAAGCTTCACATGAGTCAACAGTGTGATGCAACAGCAAAAAAACCCCCCAAAACTAATGCCATTCTAGGCTGCATCAACAGAAACATAATGTACAGATCAAGGGCTGTCATAGTACTGTGTGATCAGACCACACCTGGAATACTGTCTCCTGTTTCTCTGCAGGTAAAGCTCAAGGTTGGTTCTTGGAATGGGTAGAAGTGGATGCCCCATGCCTGGGGCTGTGTCTTGTGTTCCCTTGTGGCCGTTGGCTGGATAAATCAGAAGACGATGGAGCCATTGAAAGAGTTCTCTTCCCTGCAACCCTACAGACCAGGACATATGTCCCATGTGAGTAGTGTTGCTTGCCAGAATATTTGGTGTGTTTTTAAATGAGGTTTTTTTTAATTGTGTGGAATCCCCTAGGATATGGAATTATGTCCCTACAGAGGTGTGTCTGGCTTCTTCACGATGTACCTCTTCACTCTGGCCTTTGAGACATGAGAGGTGTGTTTTCAGGAGCCAACCTATTATTGGGAATGCCATATGTTTTAAGAGTTTTTATTTCTGCCCTGCCAGGGAGGAATGGCAAGCTAAGCTGGTGGACTACGTAGAAATGGCAAAGCTAACTGGAAAGCTCAGGAACCGAGAGGATGAAAACTTTAAAAAAGAATGGGGAAAATTTGTAATTTATTTAAGAGATCGTTGCAAGCAGATGAAAACATTGGCAAAATTCTAATCTCACTTGTAACAAATATTACGTACAATATGGATTGATATAAAATACAAATTGTAGAATAATATGCAGTTGTAAATGTTGACAATAGGACCCGTGGGGAGGGGAGTCTTGAGATTCAGAGTAATCTCTATATATGGATAAGCATTTGGATTGTTATAATTTTACATTTGTGAAATCAAATAAAAATGATTTCATAAAAAAAGACATGCAGAAAACTACAGTGGTACCTCAGGTTACATACACTTCAGGTTACATACGCTTCAGGTTACAGACTCCGCTAACCCAGAAATAGTGCTTCAGGTTAAGAACTTTGCTTCAGGATGAGAACAGAAATTGTGCTCAGGTGGCACGGCGACAGCAGGAGGCCCCATTAGCTAAAATGGTGCTTCAGGTTAAGAACAGTTTCAGGTTAAGAACGGACCTCCAGAACGAATTAAGTACTTAACCCGAGGTACCACTGTACACTGTTAGGAGAGAGAGGTTTAAAAATGGACATCGGCAGAAAGATGTACATTCTGATATGCAGAAATTCATTTATCTGAAAAATTTATAAACCACAACAAAAAGGCTTTCCTAGTGGTGTACAAGTAAAATTATAGATAAAACAATAAATTAAATATTACAATAAAATGCATTAAACATTAAAAAAAAGAGTTTTTAATTCTGGAAAATGCTGGTGAAGGGTGGGTCATACATTTAACAACGACAACTCATTTTGCCCGCTGTTTATCTTCTTCCTCGCCCCGTGCAGTTGTTCCCTACGAGGTCACTGTTTACACAAGTGATATTTTTGGAGCTGGGACTGATGCTGACGTCTTCATTGTCCTGTATGGAGCGGATGGGGTTTGCACTCGCCAGAAATCCTTGTGCCAAAACAAAAGGGAGCGAAGAATGTTCTTTGAGAGGAACACCGTGAATCAGTTCATTGTTGAGGTAACCTAAGAGATGCCGTAGCTGTTCGCCTTCCCGCAGTCCAAATTTCAAGATCTGATGACTCATCCTTTGCTCTCAGAATTATCCTGTGAATTACATTTACATACATTTACTTAATAATTTACAGTATTCATGGGTTGTCTCCAATGAAGTCATCACATTATCACAAGGACTTCCACCTGTGCAATTGAATATCCTCCCCACACTATCAAATCAGTTATGGGTCCCCCCCCCTCCGGTGATTTGGGGGCAGGGAGCATGCAGGAGAGGTTGAGAAAGTCTTGTTGCACAAGCAGACATGTCCTTGCACTAACAGGAGAGCCTCATTGGATAAAACCTCTTTTTCCCCCCTAGCTAATTTGGATTTTTTTGGGAGGAGAGAAGCGTAATGGCTCTAGGTCAAAAGTCCTACACTCTTTCCATGGCAAAAAGATGAATTATCTATCCCCTGAATTGCTTGCAGTCCATTCCACCTTTGTGGCATTCGAAAGCTAAAGATGAAATAAAATAGACATCTAGGCCAACTGCTCTTTTATCCAGATTTTTTTTTTTTTTTTTTTTTTTTTTTACTGAGGGATCAAATAGTTCTGCCATTAATTCTTTCAAGTTTGATCCTCGCATGGCCTTGAGCACTTTAGAATTCCTTTGGACTAACGCAAAACTGTTCCTAAATCTTCTTTTTACATGTTTTGAGGTTGATGTTTTATACTGGCAGAAGACAGCTAGTGAGCGGGGAGAGGGGAATCGGAGCAAAATGTTGCATGCTGTCAACTGCTTCTGAGAATCTGTAATAAGTTCAATAGACCTTGAAAACAATTCCGGGATTCCTGATCATCCAAGGGCTGTGAAATGCCTTTTTTAAAAAAAGAAAAGAAAAAAGAAGTCGTAGTTTTACTGCTGGATCTGCTTTGTATTCTGCAGATAGCATCCTGAAAGCATTTAAGAAACTGTTATCAGCCACATTTTGAGGAGGTGATTTGATGGCAATGTGGAAAGTGCTTGAATAAATATACCATTTTGTTGTTGTTGTTTTTCGTTGGCTTCTTCCATGCCTGTCTTTAAAAGCACACGTGGCATTTCCTTACAAAGGAAGGCAATTTATTTGGCATGAGCAGAAGGGGAGGGGGAGAATAATTGCTATCCTTCTAATGTTAAATGTTTTTCAGATAAATAGAGATTTTAATCATTTTTATTCGAAAGGAGAGATGGATAGCACCATCTCGGTTGGTCTGGAAAATGTTGGTGTAAACCCTGTCACCTAAAATGGATAATTTTGCAAGCTCGTGGATCTACCCCAGTTTCAAGCATTTGCTATTGTAATTGTTGCTGTTACTATTGGTTTCTATTGATTTATTGATGTGTTTGTTGCTCGTAAAGGATATTTTGTTTTTTAATGTTTGATGCTTTGTTGTGTTTTTATATAAATAATAATAATAATAATAATAATAATAATAATAATAAATTATTTATATCCCGCCCTCCCCAGCCAAAGCCGGGCTCAGAGCGGCTAACAACAGTAAAAATAACACAGTTTACATAAAATCACAATCAATTAATTGAAATACATTCTAAAATCAATTAATTCTAAAATCAATTCAGAATCAAATTAATGGCAACCATTGGGCTAGAGTGCTATGAGGATTTCAGAAGGAGGGGGTCAGACTGTGCCCTGGCCAAAGGCCTGGTGGAACAGCTCCGTCTTGCGGGCCCTGCAGAAAGATGTCAAGTCCCGCAGGGCCCTAGTCTCTTGTGACAGAGCATTCCACCAGATCAGGGCCACAGCCGAAAAAGCCCTGGCTCTGGTTGAGGCCAGCCTAACCTCCCAAGATGTTTTTGGGCTTTAAAGGTTAAAACCAGCACCTTAAACCTGATCCTGTACTCCACCGGGAGCCAGTGCAGCTGGTATAGCACCGGGTGAATGTGATCCTGCGGCGAGGACCCCGTAAGGAATCTCACCGCAGCATTCTGCACCCGCTGGAGTTTCTGGGTCAGTCTCAAGGGCAGCCCCACGATGGGCGGGATATAATTTTTTAAAAAAATATTATTATTTTATTATTGGAAACCAGAAATTGGAAGCTCTAGTGCAGGCACCCCCAAACTCGGCCCTCCAGCTGTTTTGGGACTACAATTCCCATCATCCCTGACCACGGGTCCTGTTAGCTAGGGATGATGGGAGTTGTAGTCCCAAAACAGCTGGAGGGCCGAGTTTGGGGATGCCTGCTCTAGTGCAAAGCAGGGCACAAACACCTTAAACATCCCACCTTCAAGAAAAGGCAAGAGATGGAGAAGGAGAAGGTCTGCTCTGCTCAGTCCCCCTCAGCCTTTCTCCCCTGTAGAAGGAGATGTGCTGGAAAGATGGGGTCAGATTTTAGCTTGGCATTTTGCCTGAGTTATTACACATTAAATTCTGCAGCAGGGATG